GATGACCTGATTTTCTAATCTTTACCCAGGTATTTTATGTGCGTCAGACCAAAGTCTGGCCCATTAAAGTAAACAGGGCATTGCCCTTTAATAGAATCAAGATTACTTGAAAATCCTGTTGAAAACCATTGAGAGTAGCAGTTACTAACCATCTCTCAGCTTTTGACTGAATAAGAATTGGAAGAATATCAAATGGGTCTATTTAGAGAATAAGTAGAGACTAAAGCCACACTTAAATGCTATTATATCTCTAGTCCTGGGTACATAAATAGGACTTGTGTCTCTCTAATTTAGAATTCCTTCTTCGAGGCATCTTTTGAAGTAGAGTTCATGCTGCCTTGAGAGTTTAGTCCAGTGAGATTAAATTGGGAATGGAGCTAAGAAGGAAACTTCTCTTTAAACAAGGTCAAAAGCGTAAATAGACATTTTATTTCATTCTCCTGAAGTGCATGGCTCAGCTCCAAAGTCTTGGAGGTGCTTAGAGCTCGGCAGATGTGGCAGCTGCTTGGGTTTGGGTTTTTTGGTTTTCATATTACTAAAGCAAGCTGAATCGCAGTCAGATTTTTTTTTTTTTTTAAATAATTAAACTTGTAATAAGTTTTGTATCAATACAAGTATTAAAAGCCCCATCTGTTCCTTAGAAAATGGTAAAGAATATACTTTCTTGGATGTTTTGAACACAAACGGTTGATTCTCACATGTTCAGAGTATGTGAACTACCGTTCTGTCTCTGAGTCTCAGCCTAAACAGCAAGAACAGCGTATCAGGAGAGAAGATGTATATACAATAACTTTTGCTTACATTCAGCCATGCTGATGCTCTGGAACTACATAGAACAGGCACTAATCATAACTGGTGAATTCAGAATTATTCTCATCTGAAGGACAGCCAATAAAAAGCAAACATACACTTCAAAGACTGGCTTCAAATCATAAAATTAGCATAAAATAATATTTCAGAGGTGTCTTGTGTGCTCCTATAGCTGAGGTTAAAAAGGATTTAGCAACATAAACTCCATTTTCCGTGGGGTTTACAAGCGAGACAACTTAAGTTGTTCTGGGTGGAAAAGTAGTCTGTCAGATCCTAGTCCAACGTGCTGTACATATTTCCCATTTTAAAAACAGGAATGCAGGTATCATGCATCTGCAATTGTGTAAATATGAAGGATCAGACTTTCCACTGCTTACTAAAAGCACAGGTATATGTTAGAATGTATCATTTGCCCTCATGGTTTAATGTGTGTTAGGGCAATGCCAACTAGAAATGGGCATTAGGTTACTTCGGGGGGGACTGTGTACACTTAATAGCCCCCACCCTGACTTCTCCTTTTATTACAGTCCAAAAAACACACATACAGCCTTTTCATCTACTAACAGAACTGCACATACGTTCAGGTTCCCAGCCTTGAGTATTTTATACAACCTGTCTTTTCGACTCCTGATGGTCTTTTTCTATCATGCTATTCTGATGGGTGCTGAGTATTAGCTACAAGATGTTGATTGCTTTCAAATCAAAGTGAATGGAAAGTAATAATTTTGGGCAAAGACTCTGGCGCATTTCAGACTGAGTCCAGGGCATGTTACTTGTCTTTCCCCAAAGGGTGTTTTTTTGTGTGTATGCCTGTTTAATATAAATGGTATGCATCTTACACATCTTAAATATGTATTGGCACAAGAGCCTGGAACCATTCCAGGAAGAACCATTACACTTTGGTGGTCTATAATATGGATTTTAAAGTATTTATAAATACGTATTTAGCTATCCGTCTAGAACAGTTCCTTCAGAGACAGTCTACCTATAATACACATTTGTAGAACTCCTGTTTAAATACATTATTTACCAGGGGGAGACAGGAAATTGTTTCTTCATACAAATTCCACTTTCTCAGGCAGATATTACACACTCTGAGAAATGTACAAATGTATCATTTACCTTAAAAGGACCTCTAAAATACTACTCAATTCTGCCTGAGCCATTTTACTCCTGCAACTAAACCACAGTCAGGTTCTCATCTGGATTAGCTCCTGTGTTGAAATGTAAGTGTATTGCACAATACACTATCAGTGTATTGTCTTTGAAAGAGAATGAGCACATGTGAAAGATTAAAAAAAAATATATAAATAACTGAATGCTCACAAATGACCAGTTTTAAGTTACCTGTGACACTGTTTTTCTTAGATCTAAATTTCTAGCCAAATATGAAAGCAAATTCTTCCATGGTATTAATATACCACAACATTTTACAATCAACACTTTAAAACGTTTTGCACATTTTAATGTGACTGCTGGTATACCCACATTGTCTCTTTATGAATTGCTGAGCCCAGCCCTTCTGTAACAAGCAGGAAATGTGATAGTTTTTTCGTGCAGTTAAAACCCTCTCTTTTGAAACCACTGAAGACTTTTTTTTTTTTTACGAGGTGAGAAGTGTTAACCCTTGCTGTAATAATTTATATTGTCTGTGAGTGACTGTTTTTCTGAATATATCATGTACACAGAGATATTCTATATCAGAAATTTTTGACAAATGTTTTTTCATCAGAAAATATCGGCTTGTCAAAAACAGACCTTTGCTGGAACACACAAGATTTGAAAGAAGCTTTTTTGGATAGGAAAAGCATTTTCTGGATTTGTATTGCTTTGTGAAAATCAGAGCAGGGATTTGAACCCGTCTCTTTCACATTCCAGAGCAGTGCTGTGATAAACAGACTACAAGTGGGCAGTTTTCATGAGGTTTCCTGGTTTTGTTCCTTTTTAATGGTTTCCTGCTCTTGGTTTCCTAAGGTCACTGTTTCAGTGCAGAATGGGAGGATTTTGAAATCTCAGTGCTCTATGGGACACTAAAATATATTTTCCCTTCAAATCTGTTTCTAGTAATATTTCTTCACTTGAATCACCCTCTGAGATGCCTCAGATGTAAAAATTACAGTTCAGTTGAACTGAGGATGTGGCTCAAATCTTCTGTGGGATTTTTAAAATGCCCACCATGGTTGGTGAGAGGTAAATGCCCTGGGACGGGGGATAAAAAAAAAAAAAAAACAAGCAAGCTTTTTGACTTGTGGAATTATCCCTGTCTCCTAGTAAAAACCTAGCAAATTACTTTCAGCCAATTTGTACTAATTAGTGCTTAATTATCTTCCTATGTGCAGCATCCCTTACTTCGTTTGCATCTATGTAG